TCATTTTTGCCCTAACTGCCTACAAAAGGTGCAGGCATAAAATTCTTTATCTTACCTCAGGGTATCATTCAAATAACGGCATCACAGAAGGTACATTCCTGTGCTTTTCCCGGTCTCTTGGACAATATCCTGCAAAGAAATTTTCTCTGGCTAAATGTTACTTAAATTAAGGGAGATCTTACTCAGACAAAGGTCAACGTGTCTCGTTAAGGACTGGAATCTTCATGAGTTGAACACCTTAACTCTGTGCCAACACTGCATCTCATCCCTGAACCTCACCAGCACATCACGCATGATCAGAAAAATCAGAAACAAAATGGCAGAAAAAAACCTTTTACTCTATATTAATTTCTCTGATAATTTGCTCCCAATCTTACTGGTAGTATTCTTTTTGAGGAAAATGCTTTTACTTCTGGAAAATTCTTTTGTGCAACACATTTTTCTGTCCTGCAGACATATGATCAGAGGATCGTACGGACTGAGAGCCATTACATTCTCCAGAAGAACAGAGAGATGTACAACAATGATAAAGTTCTTCCTGGTAATGACATTTAATATTTCACAAGAGCTTTTGTGCAGGATTCTTGGAAAGTCTTCATATATTTCTCCCTGCTGCAGCGCCACCACTTTTTAGTTTCTTTTTTCCACTTAACACTGAAAAGAACATTTTTGCACAGAAAAAGTATCAGGATAAGTTTCTGCAATTCAGAAAATAGAGCTACAAGAGCAGATTGATGTCATTTAGTACTTACACCTCTTGGAGAGATGAGAAATGTCCCTGTTCTTAACACTGCTGGGAACCATAGCTTCCCTGACATGGTGATCTAATGCGGGCATTGTTTGGCCAAGAAAACTGAACAATGCTCTCTTTAAAGAAATGTAAAAAAAAAAAAAAAAAAATACATGTAATCTCTATTACAGTTTTTCTATTCATATTTCCAAAAGTGTTTGTTTGTTTGTTTAAACTTTTCATTCACACATCGGAAGCTTTCTTATTTGTAGTGTCCAGGACTCTACAGACCAGTCAGGTTTCTCCACATCAAACTTCATACACGTTGCCACTCTGTACCTTTACCCATACATGAAAATGAATCAAATGAAAACTCAAAAGTTTTATATTAAAGTGGAACATGTCAAAGAAATTTCCTTTTTAGCCCGTATAAACCTTTTGTTCTGTACTTGAAGTCTGTAGAAGTCCAGAAAAAGGTAAAAGTCTCTCCAGGTGCTTTTAGAAATCTTTATATTCTGCATTCTAGATGACAAAAACCAGTCAGTTTCCACTATAATGCATTTCTTAATTCCAGGAGTGATAAACTGCTACTTTACTTAAAATGCTCCTGCTTTTGTTTTTGAATTATTTTTTAAATAACCTTTAAATTAAATGGGGGATTTGAATTTGAGTGTATGCGCATTCATTTAGATGTAGTTTCAGTGTCATGGTTTTGGTTATGTTGAGCTTTACTTTGCTCCATGTTTCCTAGTTTTATTGGTTTAATTCC